CTTCACAACCTTACAGTGCTAATTTCGTCTTGAAGATCGAGATCTCCACCACATCAACCCCAAGGGTCGTCCTGTCAAGCAATGCGAGCACTGTCGCGGTGCGCGCAAGTCCAAGTCTCATCACGCCAAGTGTGATTGTGGCGACAAGAAGGACAAGGACTTGCACAAAGACAAAGGCGACGCGAAGAGTGAGCTCACATCTGGCTTGGCCGTCCCCGACATCTCTGACGTTACTCTAGCTCACGACAACCGCTGCCAGTGCCATTCCGGCGGCAAGTGCTTGTGTGGCACCAAGAAGGAAGAGATCGATCTCAAGATCGACACTACCCGGCAGACGCTCCACGACGCTCGCGCGAAACCCAAGTTGACTGCGACGCACTCGGAGAGCCACTTGACCGTCTTCGCAAACGGCCACCACAAGCCTTGCCATCGCAACAACAACTCGGCCCATGTCTCTGGCCTTCCGTACAAGATTCCTCGTCCGCATACGCTACACGGCCATGCCGCCTTCTCCGCTCTCTCGCAAGAGAAGAGTACTCGCAGCAAGCCAGAACCGCAAGCTACCCGCTCTATGGACACGCTCTCGTTATCGAACAACGACTTCCACACCATGTTCGGCTCTACACAGCGCTGTGCCGACAAGTCGCCGACTCCCAACGTCGGCGGTAGCCTCGACACATTCGGTTTCAACGAGATGTTCAGCAGTCAGCCCGGCGTCTTTCAACAAGACGGCGAGTCTCCCAACAGCAACGTCAGCGACACGTTCTCGAACCAGTGGCCATGGATAGCCAACAGTGTAACACCCGTGAACAGTACGTTCGGTCTGGGCAGCCTGTCCACCTCGCCATCGCAAGATTGCCTACCAAACATGGATAGCGACTGGTTGACAGCATCTGCTGGTTTCGACCACGTCTGGTCTGCTACTGATCTCCCGCTGGACCCTAGCAAGTTCAACGACGACTTGGCGCAGCCGATCTCACACAGCGGAGAGTCCAAACTGAGCGGTCCCGGCCTTACTGTAGCGTCGTCTGCGCACTCGGAAATTGGAGAGCCAGCCCTCTTCGGTGACTTGGACTTCAAAGCCCCTCAGTCGGCTGCCAGCGAGTCGCTCTTCTGGGAAGATACCCCTGCGTATCGCTTTAGCACTGCCGTACCGAGTGAATCCGTCAACGCGCCCATGCCAATGGCCACTACGGCACCCATGCCGAACATGCTTGGCTTCGATCCTATCTACGCCAAGAGCATGACTGCTGCGCCAGCAACTATGACGAGTACCGCCTCGCCTGACTTTGCCGACACAGCCGCCCTCTCGATGCCTAGCAATTTCGAAGATGTTGTTCCCATGGACCCATGGCCTATAGATCAGACCAATGGTGCTTTCAACGCGATGAACAATTTTGATCTATCTTACACCAACAACGGTTGGTTTTAGACGCCTGCGAAGGGACAGCCAGCTCTTGCAGCTACTGTCGCTTTTGATGACGCCATGATTGATGACGCTGCTGGTGCGCGATGATACCAACGCCTAGGCGATCTCTATTCATATCTTCTTTTAGTCTTCACGACTACCCTTTTGACTATCGGTCGCCTGTGTATATTTTATGACCTGGCCCGAACCATTCGCTTGATGTGCGTTTGAGGCCGTTCTACATAGATCGCCGCCATCACTGTTTGTTGCATTTGAGTGTTGAACAAGCAAGCATACGTATATACAATGGGATGGATTTGGGTGGTGATTTCAATGCTTGGGCGGTTTGCCCGTGGGGGTTTCGCAAAAGTATAGACGGAGCCTTTGGCGTTCTGACGTCTGGCTCACAATGAAATAAGAAAGTAAAACAATTCTGCGTCCTCATGTGCTCTTCATCGTCAAGTTTCATCCTCAATTGAGGCATCTCAACGGACCCCTCAGGCATCGTCGAGTGACGTCCTTGAGTCGCAGCTTGCAGGGCGTGCCGCACGGCCGCAAGGTTCGCTTTCATCCTCCACCAATTGGCGGGGACGCCTTACCAACGAATTTTCAGGGTTCCCGAGGCGCCTCGCCCACGCCCTGCATGGCAGAGATTTTCGCTGACATTCCAAGCATCCTTTTGATCGGTCGACAGGGATAGGCTATCTCCCAGCAAAACCGTGATTAACCTTTTGGACGCGCATGCTCTGTCAAGATCCCACGTTGCGGTCGACCTGCACCAAAGGACGATGAGGTGCGTGGATGATCGGCGACAGATGTAACATCACTACGTCGTCTCACGGGATGCGCGACTTGAGCGCTACGCCAGCGCTCGCGGCGGCTGCGATTGAATCGACGTGATCACTCGCAATGCGACGCACTGCACAAGAGCATGTGCCGGGACGGCCTCGGTGGCATCCAGGCTATGTGGCTATCAAGGCTAAACACCGATCTCTGTCGCAACCACCTTGTCGTAGCTCCTGGGACGGCTCAGTGACTATCCGCACAGCGCGGCAAAGTCAGTCAATTAGCTAGGCGCATCGCACTGCACCGTCAGGAAAGCTAAATCAGCAGCATGACCACGAGCATGTCATCCCACTTACGAGCCTGCTGCTTGCGGATGCGTTCACAATCCGGCGCCCGCTGCACAGCACAAACAAAGAACCGCTGTTTGTGTGTGTTGTGCATGCCAATGCCCAGTGCACAGCCTCCCTTTTACGCTTCTTTACGAACCGCCAGAGTGGGAGGTGTGCAGTGGGCGTTCTGGCGAACCAGATGCGGGCAAGCTGGGTGTGCTCACGCGTTTTCGTAATGGGGGCGGATGCATACTTCCTCACGATAGTGCTAGCCTGCCGTTTCCATTATGATCCCAACAAATGAACCAAGAGTGAAGAAGTGTTGTAGTAGTTCTTCACGGGAATGGAGAGGTAGCTCAGCTTAATAACAATGTTTGCTCGAACCGAGCTTTCGAGATAATCACTCATCGCGAACTTGCAACCGCAGCGGTGCCCTCTCTCTTGCCTTCGTAACGAAGCAAGCGTTCCAATAGCGAAAATCACGCACGCATGCAATGCATCTATAGACTTTCGCATATGTAGCCGCGGACAATCCCGCCTAGCGAACTGAACTTCCTTCTCGAGAGTCGCGGCATAGCGATATGTGAAGGTTGTATGGAACATATAGACGCTATGCGTCGCATCGCTTGCATCATGATACCTTTTCCCGCGGGTTTTCGGGCGTTCGCAGACTGCGTGGACTTTGCGGGGTCTGGTGGAAGAACAACAGCTCATTGGCGCTAAGCAACCCCGTCCAGAATGTCAGAAGACGAGCGCGCTCTGTTGGACACCATCTTGAAGGTTCTGGTGGTTCTCACATGAATGCAGACGTACGTCAGTCGACCTCAAGGACCCTTCCTTCAGACAAGGCAAGATCGTCGATCCCTGAATCCCCTACCTTCGGCATCGGCCGTCGGTACTGCTGTCTGTCTGCTGTCGCACCTGTCGCACACGCTTCTCTATCGGACCTTTCGGCAGGACCCTGAAAACTTGCCCTTGTTCTTGACCCTGGCGTCTCTCTGACACCCGTTCAAAATGATGTCAACGTCTCGTGTTTGTCCTTCGCGTTCTTCGAACCGAGGCAGAGAAGCAAGCGAAGAGACAACGAGGTTCCACCGTTCCACCGACTTTTTCCCCTTTGGGTAATACAGCCAGTTGGATATCGCGATCGCCAACGCCGACAATGATTCAGTTTTTTTTGCGAGTTGGAGTTCGCGCGTGGCTGTATTGTGGGGGTTGTGGGGGTGCGGAATCATCTGCTTTTACGGTATTTCGCTGCGCTACGGATCGAGTGCAGTTTACTGGTGAGAAGAAGAATGAGGCGGAACATGCCCGGGCAGCTGCCATCGCAGCGTTTCGCGTACAATACCCAGGTAAGAGTAGTTCGCGATTGTGATTGCAAGCAACACGAGACACGACGTCATCGCCCACGAGGTCGGTTGCTAATAACCGTCTCATTTCCGAGCGTAGACATGGGGATCAGCTGTCGGTAAGCAAGTCCCCGGATATGCTGTGAACACTAGTTCAACGTTATGCTCCGGTGCTGAGGTGCAAGGTTCGGATGTAAGTCATCAATCACATGCACGGCGGAGAGTTTCCGCTTCACCCTGCATGCAGCTGGCGAGTCGATCGTTGGAATGTGACGGTCAAGCTTTCTTTTGGTTGCACGTTGCACGGCGGGATTGGTGGCGCGTTTACCGCGTGTAGGTGTCGCATGGATGGGAATGGCGGTGTCGATGCTGGAAAAGTAAGCTGCATGGCGCAAACAAAGGGGTGTACGCTTGAGCTTGGTCGAGTATCGATGCATTGAAAACGGGTTTACTGGCGGTGTGGTGTACTCAGTGTACGCGTGTGTGCAGAAAAGGAAGAGGAGAATGGTTCAGATGATGGGTGTCGTGAAGGTAATCGATCAGAAGAAGGGAAGATGCGCCTCTGAGGAAAGCGATACGTATTTCCGTGAGGCAACGGCGAACGTCCAATGAAGGTCGTGGAAACAATCGATGATGGGAAGTGTCCCCAAACGACCAATTCGAGAAGTTGACTGTCGGATATCAATACTATATTAGTGGGGGAAAAGTCAATATTATACATAGCACACACTGAACCACTTCATCCCTCCTCACACCTCATATAAGGAAGACACTGAACAGGCCTGCATCCAACACTAGAACATAAAACAAGCAAACAAGAAGACGTAGCATCATGTAGACCCATCGGTGTTTAGTTTTCCCCTTAAACAAAGTGCTCGGCTCGCCTTCTCTCCACCCTAACCATCCCCCTCCACCTCCACTTCTTCATATCCACTTCCCCAATCAATCGGCTGATACCCACTGAATAAGCTATCTCCCAACTGGTACCCCGGTTTACTAAAGTATGTCGACATGCGCCCCATGAAAACGGGTGGTGTATCGTAGTCTTCGTCCGTGTAGTAAGAAGGCTCTTGGGGAATGGCAGTGTAGTTCGCTTGCGATGGCCAATAGGATGAAGGTGAGTTTTCTCTAGGGAGAAGAGTAGGGGGAGGTGATGTTTGGGTTGCGGTGGTCGCGTAGGTGGGTTTTTGCGGGGGTGGTGAGGGGTTTGGTGTAGCGTGGCAGTTGCATGTACATGGTGGAGTTTGCGAGGTGGGTCTTGATTGAGGTGGAGGACTCTGATGTATTGTCGTGGGTTCTGAGGTCAGGGCGGGATGTGATGATGGTGGCGATGGTGTGCTCTTGACTGGTGCTGGAGATTTCGTCTTTGTCGATACCGGCTCGCGGTCTGGCTCTATCACTGGCTCGGTGTCTGTTCTCTGATCTGACTTTTGCGGCGACTCCAGCTTCTCCGAATCGCCTACACCCGAGCCAAGAGCTGTCCACTGCGATATATACGAAGGTCGTCCCGGTTGCCTCATTTGCCCCTCAATAATCGTCTCTCCCAACAGCGAGATATCCGAGTTCGTCCTCGAATTCGTATAACTTAGACTCGGTGGCCGACTCGCTCGTTGCGAACTGATTGAGCTCGACCGCTTGCTCCTATTCGTATCGCTCACTCCGCCATCCGATCGCATGCTCGTTTCCGACAGCGGTCGCAAGAACGAGACCGTTCGTGATCTCCTTAGTGCTTGCCTATCAAGCTTCTCGTCGTCTTCAATAGGTGCCGGCTTCTTCAGTTCCGGCTCTTTGTACTCCAGCTTGCCATTCTTGTCGGATGCGAAGTACTCCTCGCCTCGCCCGAAGACGACTTGAAGGGATGCGAAATCTCGTGTAGTGCCGTCAGTGGGGTAGAGCCAATCTCTGAGTGCGGGAGGGAGGTCGTAGCCATCTTTGAAGTGTCAGCATGAAACCTTCCCATCCATCGGATAACGTATGCGCACCTTGTCTAAATTCTCCTCCTTTCGTCTTCCAGCAAACGTAGTATCGCTCAAAGGCACCGAATGCGCAGACTATCAGATCGTCCAAACTTTCGGGGTCGTTCGGGTCTTCTGGTATCTCGCCCAGACGTTTGTATAGCCGTGTCGATGCATCCATGGTGGGTATCCAGTAAAGTGGAAAGAAGCCGTGTAGGAGTTGCGGATCAGTCCCGTATGGAAACGGCCACAGAGTGCGTTAGTCGACAAGATCAAGTAAGCGAACTATGTGCCAGAGAAAAGCAAAAGATACCATAAGATGTAGGGCTCAGCCAAATTCCAGTCGTTAGCAGTCAATATCAGGCACGCTTGGATGGTTACCCCAGCTTTCAAAGAGCCATCACTTCACCACACCACCTAGCATTACCATATCTTCCATCAAACGCTTTTCGCTACACGGCAACATATTATCGCGTGATCACTATCGCTTGCGACATGTTGCCAAAACGTGTCGGAAACCTGAAGCATTTGCGATGAGTGAGTCGGTCGATGGTGGGTCGAGTTTCACATTTGCCGGTCCGCATGGACATGCAACGGGCGGGTTAGCCGGCAGATCCGTCGTATGCGGTAAAGTGTAACATCTGGGTTGACTGTCGCTCGAGTTCTGGATGTTGGCGATTGCGAGAAGTTAGGTGGTAGAAGAGATGAGGAAAGCGGTGGCACTGAGCGAATTATGGAAGGTGACATTGACGCCTAATCGATTTCGGGCATCAACACAGAACATGATTACTCAACCAAGCACTACCTACCCTCAAGACAGATACCGTAATGTCTGATGGAATCTTTGCATTGATTTTTATCTTTCATCTTCGTGATGGTGTTCCAACGCTACATCACTTCGTCTTCCCATTCTCGTCCTCCAAGCCAACCAAGTCATCAATCTCCCTAAATAACGCCGACGTAGTCTTCCTTTCACCAGTGGTACCAGCATTTTCCCTACCCTTTCCACTCACAGAACTACTACCAGCTTGTCTACCAACCCCACTCGTACTACCCCTCCCTTGACTCCCTCCAATCCTATTACTCATCCCCTGATTCCCCTTCCCACTCGTCATAGTCCTCGCAAGAGACTGGCGACCCGATGCGGTAGTGGATGATCTAGGTGACGAACGAGAGGTAGCGGCTCTAGAAGAGGATGGCGATGAGAGTTCAGATATGGAACGATCTCTTTGCCGGCGATCGGGAGTGGGCCTTTGCGTTGACTGCTGTGAAGTGGATCGTCGTGATGAGGGACTCGGGCTTGGGCGGGGACTAGATCTATCTGGATTCGGTCGACGGGGTAGAGATATCACCGGTCTGGCGTTTGATGTAGATTGAGCTGCGGATATGGCTGGGTCTTCTCGGATGGAGGGTGCGCGTTGGCGGGGCGGTGTTATCGGTCGTTGGATGGACGGATCAGACGTAAGCTTCGATGTCGTCGATGGTTGCGATCGTGTCGCTAGTGCTTTTGCTTGCTTCGCTTTGGAGACGGCGAGTGCTAGAGGGGCTGGTGTTGGGGAGGCTTGGGGCTGTGTACTGACTCCCGGCACGCTCAGTGATGCATCTTCGTTGGAGTATACAGAAGACGTGTTGCTGTTGGCACGAGATCCGCGTTCACTCGATCGTCTTCGAGACTCAGGACTAGGCTTTTGCGCTGCTGCCATGGCTTCAAACTTCTGAGCTTGGGCTAGAGCTCGAGAGCCGCTGCTTCTGTTTAGCTTGGGTGTAGTTCGCTTCTCGCCGGGAGATGTAGAGTCTGACTTCTCCGGAGTGCTTCCAATCTCATCGATAAGTGTCGGTGATGGTTGAGCAAGTGGGACGTTTGCCTCATGTGAACGACTTTCAGTCTTTTCAAGGAGTTGTAACTGGGCTTCGGCTGGCACCGAATCCATTACGGTAGGAGGCAGGGAAGTCCCCATGACTGGTGGGCTGTCATTCTGACCCTCACCAGCTATCTGAACAGATGCTTCATCTTGCCCTCTCGTCGGAGCCAAGGTTTCTTCATCAACCCCTCCGGCAGGAGAATACGCCGGCGGTGGACTCCGCGATCTAAAAACCAAACTCTCCACCACGGGCGGCGGATCCTCAAAGATAGACTTCGGTATCTTCATCGGCCTCCATTCCTCTTCCTTCCCCTCTCCCACTTCAGCACCGACCCCGGGTCTCACCTCCACCTTCTCTCCACCCAACGGCTTCTCAACCGGTGCATCCTCATCGCTCTCAACAGCCCTCTTAGTAGTCTGATCCGCCATCCTCTCGTCCGCCTCTTTCTTCCACCTCTTCTCTTTACGACTGAGTTCGATCTCCAGTACCCTTGTACCAGGTGCAACTCTAGATTTGAGGCCGTCGTCATCGAGATCAAAGTACAAGCCCCATAGCCCGGGTGCTTGTTCAACCGCACACCAGCCCTCCCATCCATCGAACGTGAGTCGCCGATCTTGACGCGTGCAATCGAATGGGCCTGTGAGATGCGGTTGCGCATCAGCTCTCACTCCGTATCTCGCTTCTCCCGTCTCTTTGTCAACATACACCCAGTTCATAATCGGCGCTACATCTGTAATCGTCGTCACAAGCCCTTCGTAACTCGTATCCGGGTACGGTAAGTAATACCCAGCATAAGGATGACCCAGTGGACTTCCATCTTCTGTCCCGGTATCGATCCAGAGCTTCCCGTTTCTCAGGACGACTTGCCGACCATCGATCTCGCGGCTGCGATGAGAAGACTTGACGCATGTGGCGATGAGGTTGCAGCGGCGGGCGCGGTGTTCTTCGCGCTTCTCTTTGGATTGTGATTGCCGGATTGCTTCTTGGGAGCCGAGGAGGCCGGGGGCTACGATTGTGGCTATGAGGATTGAGAGGACCATTTTGCGTGTACTGCATCGTGGGGATGCGTTTGCGGGTGGAGGTTGGCATGGACATGCACCATGTTCAGCATCGCCTGCGGGTGAGATCTGATGGGGTCAATGCGCAATACCGTGGTTCCGTAGAATCGGGATCGCTTGATAACTCAGGTGGTCTGATGGTCGCTCGACTGACAACAAGAATGTCCAAGCTGAGACGGTCGCCCTGAGCCTCACCAGCCCCTGTGTGTTTCATCGTCACAGCCGCCCCGCCGGCAAGCATAGCATATCCCCACAATGTCCAAGCGACTGCGGTTGATCGTCTTGTCTGGGCCCTGGAATCCTTTTCGATAGTGAGGCTGGTACGAGACTCGGATGATGGCAGCGATTTTGAGACGCGGGAGTGCCACAACAGCCGTTTCGAGCGTCCAACGCGACATCGACTCATGACGAAGGTGAAGGGTGTGTGCTCTTGTCGTGCCTAATGGCGAATTTGCTTATAAGGCAGAGATATGGCACTTGATCAAGGCCAGTACAGTTGACCTGCATCTCATCCTCACCGTCCACCATCGCCAATACCTAGCAACGGCCCGGCGCCTATCCAGCTTGAACCACTTCTTTAATACCTAATATCGACCTCTTGTTGTCTCGAACCACCCATCAGAATGTCTACCCTGTAAGCATCTCTGGTACGGATGGTTTTGCATGTGCTAACCTCAATCAGCGACTCCACCATCCGCCCAACAGCCTACGGCTCCGACACTGAGAGCGATGGACAAGCATCCGGTGGCCGTAAGGTGTCTTCCACTTCCAAGGTTGGCCCTGTCCCATCCTCAGCCACACTCAACCGACCGGCCGGCAACATCATCAAGGGACCAGTGGACGACAACGGCAAGCCCAAGGATGCGGCGTTACTCCTGGGTATCAAGCTAGATTTGGAGGCAGAGATTCACTTGACGGCAAGGATTCGTGGAGATATTACGATTGGATTGTACTGAGCTACTGGCATGGTGAATTACGGACAATTCGCCCGGGAGTTCCAAGACATTGTGTGGAAGACACCAAGCGACATCGCAAGAGCATAGGAAGGCGTTACTGGTCACAAGTATCATGGGAAAGGGTTGAGATCTGAGCACATTGTTAGCGTTTGATAAACCAAAAGCAATCAATATGTGCAAGTCTAGGGTGTTGATCAGACTCATGCCCTGTCACAGGCAGTTATCACCATTGCCGTAGCTCGGTAGACCGTCGTGATAAATTGAATGTTCATCTTGTAAAGGAAGTGGAGGTTGTGGGTGAAGACTTACCATAGAGAAGAACATCACGCTTGCAACATGAGTAGAAGATCCTACGCAACTGATCAGTTGCTGTTGTCTCTCATCTTCATAGTGCAACACAGTATAGTGTGGATCAGACAGGACAGTTCTCGTCGTCGCCGAAGCTTGGACATATGCTTGTCATTGATAAAGTCGTATCATCATATCGAAGAAGGAGATAGGCGGCGAGCGTACCGATTGTAGTGAGGCAAGCACTGATGGATCTGAGTAGCAAGTTAGCAAAAGCTTCTACCAGTAAAGAGAAAGCAAATAGTATGCATTGAAGTGGGATCAGTTGACATGAATGGATATTTTGATTTTAAGTCTTCACCGGGCGAACCCGTCGGACTCGTCATCAAGTGTTCATCATTTCCCAGAAGGTGAGCAAAAGGAGTGCGCTTACCAGTGAGGATATTACAGACTGTTGTTGGAGAACAGACTGATTGCGTTGTTAGCCGAAGCTCAGCGACGCTTGTATGATTGTGCAGTATTGGCGAGCGAGGTCAGTCGGCGAGGTTTCTGAGGCCTGCCATAATGAGCGTATCCGTCACGAATTGTCGGTGCCCAGTGCGGAATCATCATATGGTGTTCGGAGGGGGGTCGAGAGGGTGGAATCGTACCATTTGGGTCGAGGGATCATAGTGTCTGCAACGCGCGAGATGTTAGCGAGAGCTACAAGCGATGTTGAGAAGAGCAGGGAATTGAAGGTCAAAATCAGAAACAGCCATTGTTTATCGGCACCGGCAGAAGCCTTGGTCGGTAATTTCCAGCGTGCCGTAGCACAATCTGATCATCATTGGACGAGGGGAAGTAGAGGGGAGATGTGCTTACCAGTGATATCGCAGAGCTGCGAAGCTACCTGTGGCAGTCATGATCGCGGAAGCGTACTGCGCCTGAGGTGCAAGTGCATGTCAAGAATCTCTGAAGCTAGTTAGCTTGATGCTCTCGTCGCAAAGGTTGAAGACGAGTATGATGAGCGCAGTCGCGATCAGACTGACGTGCAAAAGTTTGAGTTTCATTCCCCTAGAGGTCAAAGACTCTAATTTGTTTTTGGCTTTGTGAATCATCATGAAAGCGCAGGATGAAGGGTAGAGTAGTTGTACTTACAAGAGTGAGCGCATGCTGTAAGCAGTGCTGTTAGTGCTGGCGGTTAGTCGTAGATCTTGTGCGCACAACAGCAAAGCTTGCTGTATCGTTGATGCGCCATTGCTGTGTGAAGCAGTAATGGTGTAGGAAGACAAGTTGTAGGCCGCTGAGAGAAAAGTTAAGCTATCGGAGGTCTCGCTAGTTTTTCCGCTCCACTAGCGCGTTGGTGACTAAGCCAGCATCTCGCGAAGGTGGACCCCCAGCCTCATACAGACACGGGCCTCAGTACTGAGAACATCGTAGAATCACATGGTGACTATTGAGCGAGGTACGAGTAGATTGCAAATTATGTCGTTTCGCTCTGTGAACGTTTAGTGGAAACACTGATCGCATGTCTCTTGCTGCTCTATCCTTGATCTTCCCGCCCATAATGACGCCAACCTGATATGCATGCCCTTCTCCGACTTGCGCCTTTACTATGACGCGTGAGAGACTATCATGGCGCGTAACTTGGGTATTTACATGAAGTCGTAAAAACTGGAACTCATGGAGTCTCGTGTATGGAGGCCCCTTCGCCTGTACATCCAACCTTCCTATGCAGAACACGTACTGGCAACGATGCGAACAAAAGTGGCGAAGCTGTCGTCTCTCATGAGGCAAAGATGCGAACGTTCAAGTCAACACAGCCTGTCGCAATAACACAACGTATACCCGCTTTGGCTGCTTCCTCTTCTTTCTTCTTGCTGGTACCGTTGGTCGCGCCGTTGGTGGCATCTCCATTGACTGGTACATCTTTGATGACGTTGGGGGCCCAGCGCATACAGCTTACGAAGTGCCCATGGGCGTCAGTGACAGTCTTGACGCATCGACCTTCTTGTGTGAGGTCCCAGCATCGGATAGTCTTGTCGTCACTAGCCGATAGCAAGTACTTTCCGCCTGGGTGGAAGACCAGCGACCGTATCCAATTGTCATGACCAGTAAGTGTTTTGATCAGTGTTCCCCGTCCGTCCCATATCTTTATGGTCTTGTCTCTTGATCCAGTCGCAACATACTCGGCGGAGCTACTGAGTGGTGGTGGTTTCTTGAGTCCAGCGAGTGCTGCAAGGTTGGCGTACGATACTGGGGGCGCTATTGTGACGCATTCGATAACATGCTCATGGCCGAGGAATGTGCATTTAGGCTCTCCTGAGCTTGCGTCCCATAGCCGGGCAGTTTGGTCGTTTCCTGCAGACAAGAGCCATCGTCCGTCAAAGCTAGGGGCTACGTCTCGTACCCAGTCGGCATGCCCGCGTATCGTCTTGACGCAGTATCCCGTTGTGACGTCCCAGATGCGCAGTGTCTTGTCTCGAGATGCCGAGACTAGTAGGTTGCCCGACGATGGAGATCCGGCGGCCCCACTAGGAACAAATCGAATCGCAGAGACGGAGTGGTCGTGCCCGGGGAGCGTCCTGATGTTCTTGTATTCGTCCGAAGGATCCCACAGCTTGATGGTCAAATCGCTTGAGCACGACGCCAGCAGTGTGCCACCTCTTGGACCACCAAAATCGACATCCAGCACTCCTTTCGTGTGTCCCTTCACCGTCCTTTCAAGCTCGCCTAATTCCCAATCCCAGATCTTGATGGTAGTGTCTTCCGAGCCTGAAGCGAGTGACGAGAATACGGGGTGGAAGGCGACGCAGGTTATGGGGGAGCGATGTGATTGGAGGGTGTGTCGTGCTGGAGCCCGTGGTAGCCAGGCGGTGGGGTCTTGGTTTCTCCTGATGAGTGAGGTTGGCGTTGTGGAGTCGAGCTCGCTCTGGAGGCTCTGGTTGCGTTGCTCGAGTTCCAAAACCTGACCATGGTGAGCATGTGGTTTCAGTGTAGGTATTGACGCGCAAGTACCTTCTTCTGCAGCCGCACTACACTGGTCCATTTCTTCTCCAGCAGCCCCTCGTACTTTTTCCGCGTGGCATCGTCGAAACTCTCGGCTATGTTGGCTTCTTCCCGGAACGCTTCCGCCGTCTTTGGCGCGTTTATAACGCCCAGGTATGCGATTATGGCCTTGTGCCTGGCTCGTCGTCAGTCATGGCTCTCGAGTCACTTGCTGTCTGCAATGCTCACAGCTCTTCCGCTTGCCGGTCTGTCAATATCGCGCTCATGGCGGAATGGCTAGGTCATACGCGATTGACGCTAGACGGGACCATGCACTATCGCGATGTGGTGCGTAGTCGTGTGCGGTCGAGGCGGAGGTTTTTGGTGGGCGCGGGGAATTGCGGTGAGCGGAGGAGGTCTGCAGGGGTGGGGTATCTTGGGGGCGCAAATTAGAGGTAGCGGAATGGCGACGGCGGGAGGATAGCGATTGTCTCGAAGCAATAATGCGGGCGTGTGTTGGAGGTGACGTGTGTGCTGGACGATGTAGGTGGGTTGGGCATTCATGTGGTGCAGGGATCTGTTTAGGAAGGAACACTGCTGTTCGCCCGGACAACGAGCCCTGGAGCGCCCGCCAAAACATACTTGCACTTTCTACATCATCACCTCACACCATACTCGACCCCTCACACTCCGTTGTTATCGCTATCCGAGACTTTGCGATCCAATAGTCTCACAAAAAGCAATCGACAACATTGTCTACTGACATCATCT